CCCCAAAACCCCAAAACCCCAAAACCCCAAAACCCCAAAACCCCAAATAGTATCTTCCAGTTTGAAACTAATAAGATTCATAATACTCTCATACACAAAAATGTCAACAAGACTGAAAGAATTAATCCTCATTTGTCAGCTCTAAGCAATTACACTAAGGAAACGAGCAGGAAGTAGAGAGCCGGGAAGCATTTCCTCGACTTCGTTGGCTCATCAGGATATTTTAGATAATCCTAAGCCGAAATTCTGTACCAAAGAAGGTAGAATGGAGTTAAGAAACAAATTCTTGGATGAATTAAGGAGGGTTAGACCCCATATAGACAACGCTTTCATTGTCATTGTCTTCAAATTCCTCTTCCTTCTTCAGTCTGACCTCTGGAGAAGACTTGATAGTGACTTCAAATTCAGTAGGGTCTTGGATAGAGACCTCTTTGATCTCTTCCTCCATTTTTCTCTTTAGTTCTCTCTCCTTTCTGAGCTGAACCCTGCTTTCACTTGCAAAGACAGGAGCTTTTCCCTTTGTAGGGGCTTTCACTGATGGTTTTATTTTAGAAACCTTATCAAATTTAGGAGCTTTAGTGGCTTTGAATTCCTTCTTGTTCCTCTTGTTTTCCTCTTCCAGTAGTTCAGTAACGATCTTGCTCTTCCTCATCCTGCTATCTGTAGATAGTCTGAACCCTTTAGGTCTTGTCAGAGCTGGCTTGGAGATTTTCCTCTTGCATTCATACTCAGCAGCGAGTTTGCTGTAATCAGGAATTGGTTGAGCTTTGAAGTTATTATTGATCTTCTCAACCCTGACTGGCCTTGATCTCCTTGAAGTAGACAAGCAAGGAGGGGCATTTGGCTTAGCATACCGCCTCTTCTTACTAGAAGTTTGAGACATTTCCATTTCCTTCTCCATTGCCTTCTTGTCTCTCTTCCTTGCAGTGGTCTTTAGATTGAACTCTTGCGGTACTGTCTTCTGGACAACTGGCTTTTCAGACAAAATTTCACAAACTTTCTTTTCGAACATTTTCGGGTTAAACTCTAAGGCTCGGAACTCTTTTGGGTTATTAAGCAGCTCAAGCTCATCTGTGGTCAAAAGTTGTTTCTTCTTGATCTGACTGAGGTTAAACTCCTTGAACGTCGTCTTTTTGCCACTAGGAGTGTTTCCAGTAACTGGCTTGTATTCGTCAAAAATTTTAGTAGGCATTGGAAGTGCCTGGAATTTGTTCTTTTCAATATCCTCAAGCTGGATCTCTTCTGTTGATTTCAAGTTCTTTGCCTTTTCAGTGAATTCTCCTCTCTTCTTGACTGAGAGAGGTGGGCTTTTGGGTGTCGTCAAGTGTCTGACAATCTTTTTCTTGGTTGGACTTTCAAAATTAGGCAGCTCTTCACTATCAGTTCTAAACAAGGCGTTGCTTATCTGGTTCTGGAGCGAGACGAACTTCTCACTTTGCTCCTTCTCTTGGGGCTTCAAGGCTGAGGACTTGTTGTAGTACGACAGAAGCTTCTTAGCCTTTTCCTCTTGCTCTTTCTGTTCATTCTTCTCATTGAGTTTCCTAGCAGCCTCATTCTGAGCAATCTTCTCCATATTTTGCTTACGGAACTCAGAATGCTTGCTACTCCTCTGGTCAGTGCTGAGCTTGAATTCCTTGACCGTTGTATTCTGCTTCTTCTTCATCACTGGCTTTTGGTATTCTTGCAGAGCTTTTATAGTGTTTTTATTAGACTTCTTCTGCTTCTGGAGTAAAGATTTTAACTCCTGGATTCTTTCCAACTCAAGCTCTTCACTACTTCTTACATTAGAGTCTTCTCTGAGCTTCAAACGGAGGTCAGTCTTGAAACTAGGGCCCTTTGGGACAGTCACAGCCAGTTTGAGAGCTTCCTTGGCAGAACTCTGGGATAATTTTTCTGTTACATTTCAGTTATCCTCCTTTTTCTCATACAGAGGGTCTAAGATCTTATGCTTAGTAATCGGGCCAGCAAATTGGTTGTCTCACAAGTACGAATACTTATCAATATTGCCCAAAATGGTCTGATAGAGGTCAACAGGCTTCTGCTTCTTTTGGCTACTTCCTCTCTGAGAGCTCTTCTTTGCACTGAGAAGGTGGTTTTCGACCTTATCTAAGAGTCCTTGGAGGCCTTCCTTAGGGTTTCCAACATTGGCTTGTTCCCACTTCCTGATAACTTCGTTAAGAGACTCAAGGTTCTGGGCATGCTCACTTTCATTATTGTCTGTGGTGCTGCTTTTCTCTTCCTTCTCCTATTAAGATAGTAAGTTAGGTCAGGTTAAAAATATATGTGGAGGGATATAATGCACTGGAAGAGGAATGTTACAGATCTCAAGGTCTTAAACTGCCAGCAACAAGTGCTTACCTCTTTCTTTGGAGTCATATTCGCGTTCATCGGATTGGTATGCTCTCTTGCTACACTCATCTTGTTTTAAATTAATTAAATTAACGTTGTAAATTTTGCAATTTTTACCGTTGCAAAAGGGGTTTTGGGGTTTTGGGGTTTTGGGGTTTTGGGG